CTTCCTTTGTCCAGAGGACACTCCCTGCAGTTTCCCTCAGCTTTACTTTCCCAGCATCCTTCCTTCCTTCACTCACTTGCTCTTCTTGATGTCCAAAGTCACCCTGCAGTCAACCATCCGATGCTGCCCAGCTGCATCCTCCCTGACACCACCTCACAGTCTCATATCTCGCTCAGATCACACCTTCTGTACCTTCCTCCACCCCTCCGACCTCCACCCTGTGCTGACACCTGTTACTCCTCACCTCCACAGCACTGCTCAGGCTCCTCCTTCAGGATTACTCCTGCTCCATTTCTCCTCCTGTGATCAGAGCTGTCTGTAAATCACGAGGAAGCCTCCCACAGCTCACAGGGATCACCGTGGGAGTCTCCACTGTCCTGACCCGTGCTGCTGTGTTTGTACATGCAGATGCTGAGTTCTGTTACGGGTCATGTCTCAGCAGCAGGAGGACGGATGTGACGTTATTACATTTCCTGTATGAGCTGGTTATTAAAACCACGGCCTGATGAATGATCATATTCAGCCTGCAGCAACAACAGCGTGAGGACGCTGTCATGTGATCACGTGACCAGCAGCCACAGATTTGCTGACATCAAAGGTCGGTTCGCCTCCTTCCGCCACTTTATCAGATTTAATGGTGAAGTTGGGAACCGGGGAGGAGTCCGGAGCGGCTGAGCGGGTCACTCCGTCGCGGTCGGAGGCGGGGCGAGTACGGCAGCCCGCAGTGGACACGTGGGAGGCGATACGCTTCGTTTTCCCGCTGAATCACAGCCGGGTCCCGGTGACAGACACTGAAGGTAACGTGCACGGAACCCGCTCGCTCACTCGCTACGTCATTCTGCCCGCTTTGCGTCGTTTTCCGCGTCTTTCTGCGCCGCTTCTGCCTTTGTTTACATCTGACACACAGCCACGCGGTGCCCGAGCGCTTCCGGTCTGCGAAGATCCGCCCCTCGCAGCTGTCAGCGCGGCACTCACGCCCCCATTTTTACCGGCAAAACTAAAAACTCACCATTTCCTTCACGCTCGCGACCATCCGCGTAGAGTTCAGCCAGCATACCTGCCGCGTGCCCTGCACAGGTGAGCGGCTGAGGTGACGCAGCTCAATGCGGCTGTAAAGCGGCGCAGAGGGTGGAGATTTAGCGCCAACTGGAATCTACGCCTCCTGACGTGGAGCTCATCTGCGCTCCGCGAGGCGCCAGCTCGGAGCAGTTAGCCCGGCCTTAGCTCAGAATCCCGGGCACCGCGAGCAGGAGAGCACCGGAGGAGAGAGAGCACACACCCGGAGAACTGAGGGGACCTGAGGGGAACCCACTGCGGGGTTAAACCTTCTGTTGGAGCTCTCGGCGGAGCAGGGTGAACTTCAAGGGAGGGACTTGAGGTGAGTTTCTGCAGCTGCTAAAAGTTTGCGTGAGTGGAATTGGGGCTTGATTGCCTGCAGCTAATGTGACCCAGGCTCCCACGTTAAACCCCCACGGTCTCCGGTGCAGACGTGGACAGCCCCCGGGGGTTCGGCTCTTTGTTGGCCGCTCCGTGTCCGCATCAGGCGGCCATGATGTGCAGCCGGACTCGGTAAAATATCGCTGTTTTCGGTTAACCGAGCCCCGTGGCCGCCTCGGGCCAACCTTGCTCGGTGTGGCGTGGATGTCGGGGCAGTTTCCCGGGTCTCCGAGGTCCGGTGGGGTTTTTTTGGGGGCACTTGAAAGCGGCCTGCTGCCCCGCTCTCCGCGCCAGGCTGAACCGGGCTTTGTCGGGAGGAAGGCGGCTCGGAGTGGGGGTTGGGGCCGCTGTACGTCGCACTTTTACGGCTGTTTAAGTCTAAATTTCACGTCGTTTGTCGTCCCCAGGTTTGCTCCCACGGACGCTTCCACGGCCCCGACTATAATGAGAGGAACACGGTGAGTTTGGCCCACGCAGGAAGAGCCACCAGGAGCTTTAGCCTCACGGGCTAACTAGCCTGTTGTTTCTGGACCGTGTGAGCGTTTACCCGTGCTAACCCGGGTTTGTTCGGCTGATTGTGGACATGGCAGCGCTCGCTAACAGCTGCTGTTTGCTTTGCTCGTTTCAGGGAAGACACAGAAGCGAAGAGTGCTCCTGCCGAGGCCCCCAAACACCCCACAGTCCGAGCGAGGAAGAGGAAGGCAGATGTTGCTATTGTGAGTGTCCTGAAAGGCTGAGGCTCCAGCAGGGCCCCACACACACACACACACACACACACACACACACACACACTCTGCTGGGTGGGTCATTGATGTGTTTTGTCACAGAGGGTCACGCAGGGCTCCAACAATGTTGGACATCATATCAGAGAGCCACAGTGAGGAGAGCTGACACAGAAGCAGAGGGGAGATGGTGAACAGCACACGGAGGCACAGAGCGTCTTTAAACTCAGGTTTTTGTAACTGCAGCCTGTGGCGCCGCTGACAGGTGG